GCGCTTTGCTGTGCAGGGGCACATCGGCTGGCAGCAGGACACTGCTTGCGGCGGCGGCGGCAGGGCCCCAGACGCGCGGCGCCAGGCGGCGGCGCCGCCAGCCCGAGGCGCGCCCGCACTCCACGCCCGGCCGCATGCCACCCCACCTTGGTTGGCTTGATCCACTTGACCGCCACGCGGCCGTAGGTGGAGCAGTGCGCCAGGCTGACCTCCCCAAAGGCGCCCTCCCCAATCTTGGCCACCACCGACACCTGGCTGGCATCTATGCGGTGCACCTTGCTCAGCAGGTCCTCCAGGCTCGGGCTGCGCTGCAGCTCGCCCGGCTGGTGCGGCAGCGCGCCCGCGGCCTCGGCCAGCCCGCCGCCGGCGGCGCCGCCGGCGCCGCCGACGGCCTCCAGGCGGGGCGAGGTGCGGGGGGAGGTGCCGCTGGCGCCGGCGCCCGTGGGCGTGCCGCCCAGCAGCTCGAAGCTAGTGGGCAGCTGGACGGCGTCTGGGGGGAAGGGGGCGCGGCGCAGCGCATCCAGCGCGTCAGCCAGCAGGTCGTCGTCATCGGGCAGCGCCGCCTTCATGACCGACATGGTGTTGGCGTCGCGCGTGCGCTCTGCGGGCAAGAGCAAGCGGGGCAGGGCGGTGCGGTGAGCGGCGGCGTGGAGGACGCCTGGCCGGCGAGGGTGTCGCTGACTGCTGGGGCTGGTCGAGGCTGGCTGGGAGCCGGGCCAAACACAGGCAGATGGGAGGTCAGCGGCAGGTGCTACACACAGTAGCACGGCCGGAGCGAGATGTTCAAGGCAGCAGCCGCGCCGGCGCTCCCCAACCACCCCAGCCTCACCCGCTGCGTCGCCGCCGCCCTCCTCCTCATCCCCGCCAAACTCGGAGATGTGGCTGGGCAGCTGGGCCGCCGCGGCGCGCCGCAGGTCCAGCCCCGTCACGCCGTCCCCAAACACGCTGATGTGGGTGGGGAGGAGGGTGTTGGGGGAGAGGGCCAGGCCGCGGATGCCGCCGCTGCCGCCCAGGGAGCCGCCGCCAGGCGGCAGCTTAACGGGCACCGCGGCCGAGGCGAGCGGCGCGCCGATGGCGGCGGCGGCCACAGCCAGCGGGCCGCCGGCGCCGGCGCCGGCGCCGGCCGACGCAGCCATGCCGCCGCTGGCGCCAGAACCCCAGGCGCTGCTGCCGCCGCGGTGGTGGGAGGCGGCGGCAGGCGTGGGCACGCCGCTGCTGCTGGCCTGCGCCAGGGTGGGCGACCGCCGCGCGGCTGCCGCCGCCGCCGCCCCGGGCTGATACTTGGATTCAAACATGGATTGGAACTCCACATCGTTCTCCACATCCTCCATCACCACAGAGGCCTGCGGCGCCAGCGGGCTGTCCAGCATGGCAGCCGCCCCAGACGCCGCCCGCTGCGCCAGCAGGTGGTGCAGCTGCGGAGGCGGCGGCAGGGCGGGCCCGCCGCCGCCGCCGCCCGCAGACAGCGCCGGTGCGCGCGGGCTGGGCTGGCGGGACGCCTGCCGCGACGCGTGGCGCGACGCCGCGGCCGCCGCCTCGCGCCGCGCCTCTGCCGCCGCCTCTGCCGCCGCCTCGGCCGCCTCCTCGGCATCAGGGTCATAGTCAATGTCGTCCAGGCCGGCCAGGCCGCCGCCGACGCCTGCCACGCCGCTGCCGCCAAACAGCCCGCCGCTGGCCGCCGCCAGGCCCATGCTCTGGTCCAGGTGCAGGGAGCGCTCCCAGGGCGAGGTCAGGCCGCCGTCGCCGCCCTGCGCGGACCAGGCGTGCGGGATGCCTGCCGCGTCGGCCGCCGTCACCAGGAACTCCGACTGCATGTGTCCCAGGTACTCCATGCGCTTGGCCACCACAGCCTGCCACTCGCCCTGCGCCACCAGCGCCGCCGCCTCCTGCCCCGCCCGGAACCCGGCCTCCCAGGCAAGCTCCGTGTCCGCTGCGCTGGGCGTGGCGGTGCCGTCGGGGGAGGCGCCGCCGCCGGCGGGCGAGCCCGAGGAGAGGTCGGAGGAGAAGGAGGAGGGGGTGGCAGCGGCGGCCGCCTTGGAGAAGGCTCGGGCCAGGCTGCTGTCCCTGCCCGCGCCAGATGCGCTGCCGTCGCGCCCCAGCTTGTCAGCACTGCAGGCAAGTTGGCAGGGGGGGGTGGGCAGGCAGGCCAGGGGTCAGGCACACATGGACACGAGGGAGGGAGGTGTGCTTGCTGTGAGGGGACGGGTTTACTGCTCGCTGGGGCGCAGCTGCCTGCCCCTCAAAAGCCCTCCCGCCGCTGCCCGTCTCCGCCCCTGCCGCCGATCCAAGCTTGGCCTGCCGCGCATGCTGTGCACGCTGTGCACTGCCCCGCGCACCTGCTGGTGCGTGAGCCGGAGAAGAAGGCCAGGTCCTCTGGGGTGTAGGGCTCCTCGGCGGCGGGGAAGAGGAAGAGGCGCAGGCGGAAGGTCTTGATGGGCGTGCCCGGCATGCGCAGCGCGCGGCCATACTCATGGAACAGCTCCTGCAGGGGGGCCGGGGGCGGCGGCGCGGCAACAAAGGTGAGGCACGGGG